GCTTGAAATGGGTGGGGTTTACGCGTGGGCGGAGCTTCAGCTAATATGTCCCACTATTCCACAATCATTGGCTAAACTGAGTGGCTTTTGCTCACTTCAGCACTGATAAATTCGTCGTTAGTCAGTCATTAGCATTCAATTAGGATCTCTTCTTCGCCATTGTGTAATTCAGTCCATCAATACTCGCCAATTGGATCAATTTCAATTACTCTCCATTCTTGACAATGCGCACGGGCAGTTTCTGTGTGGAAGAAAGTCCATTGGACATAATCAAATGTACTTGAGAAGATTCCTCGTCATCTGGTGCTCTTTTCAGGATAATTGGACGAAATGAGGGAATAAAGCAGTGGAAAAGTACTGAGCAATTAATTTGGCATTCCCCTCCAAACAGAGGTGAATATACGCGACATTGTGAGAGATTTTCTTTTTCTCAGAATATTATAATATGTTTATTTCCCGGGTTATGCCGAAGCTTCTCAACTGTGTGCGCCTCTTGATGAGATTTCGATTAACGTGGAGTGAATGCTTTTCCTTGGCAGTTGAGAAGGTATATATTGGATATTTATTGTCTCTCTTCGTCTGGGCGATTTATCTGCTCTGTGCTCACCCTGAATTTTCCACCCGAAATCATTGGGCTGCTTGGCGGAGGGTGTGAGAGATGAAGCTTAAGCGTTTTCCCTCCCCCATCAGAGATAATTGAGCTTATTTATTTTGTGAATTTCAATCGATTTTTCACTTAAGCTCGCAGTGCAAAAGCTCCAACACTGTGAGACACAAGATTTAATTAACGAAGGAATGCATTTAATTTTCTTATTGGATCACAATTCAATAGAGCGTGGCATGGCGAAAAATGGACTTATTGCTCTTGACACAGTTTTCTCCGCCACTCTTGATGGCTCTCTTCAAACACTCAATTGTCATGGGCTCAATGGATGGGGAATTAATTAGTCATAAGAATTTTGCCTTCGAGACACTGAAAGAGCGCAAAGTGGGGAGAAAAAAACTAAAGGGTTTCCAAACCACCCTTCTGTATGGGGATGGGGTTTGAATAATAAATTGATTTTATAGAAATTTCTTCCACCGTCATCCAATTAATTTTGCTCCTCTCTTTCTCTTCACAATCAATGCCGTGGGCGGCGAACGGAGGCAAAAAGGCGAAAATGAGTGAGAAATAAATTAATTAATTGGGTGAAATTCACGTCTTTGATTTTCAATTTGGCGGTCACACAGCACCAAAAGCCTCTGGGCGCTTTGTCTAAAGATTTACTGCCGAACAATCACAAGCTCTCATCCATTTTCATATTCCACAGAGAGAGAGAACGAGAGGCAAAAAGCAAGTAATATTTCTCTGCGCACTTCTTGAGCTTCGAGAGTCGCCATCGAGGAGTTTGCTTGAGTGGCGGAATTGGGAAGACAAAGAAGTGGTCCAATTTAAATGTGTTTTCAATCCCAACTTTTCCGCAGCGGTAAAAGCTTTTGCCAATAAAAGTGTCATTTTTATGGATAAGCAATTTTCACAGATAAATTTCTCTCTTTTGCCTCTGTTTTTTTTTTAATGTGACACACACACATAGTGATACAGAAGCCATAGTTGCTGCAGAGCTTTTGTCATGGCAAAAGCTCCAGGATGTCCTCGAGCATTGGTTCTCGCTTGAGTTTCGACTTGAGATTCGCCAAACATTTGCATGGGCCCGGAGAAGACATTGAAGTGTGTTTTCCTTGTTAATTGGAATTTGCTTCACTAATAATATGTGGAGTGTGCTTTGTTGAGATGCTGTAAACAAAGAACACTCTCCATCTTCCCGCACACACACACCTGATATATCTCCGGCACACCTGGCAATAAAGCACAAAAAGCGAGAGAACTCGAGAGAGACAACGCACATGATGAATGGTGAGGGTGCGGAGGCGCTTTGCAGGGTTATTTTCGGGCTGCAATTTCGATTGTTGTATCATCAGGTGAAACATTAGGGAATGGATGAGAAACCAAGTCACGTTTCGGCACAATGTACACGACCAGACGGGTCAATTCACATAATTCACGAGTCGCTCCGCCCACATAACTCACTTCTATTAATTTTTCTCACCTCCGCCGAGAACTGAGGCCAGAAAATTGAGCTTCTTGCGCTTTGGAGGATTGAGAGCTTTTGGCGATCAGCGTGGCTGAAATGGCGCTAAACGCACACAGAGGTTACTCTTCTTTGTTTATTTTATCAAAAAGCGCAAAATTTTACGATAAAATATCGCGAAAATTGGAGATTTGCGGAAGAATTTAATGATTTTGAGATTCCACGAAATCATTCGCAAGAAATCCGCCATTTTAAAATAAAATAAATATCGGTTGAACCTTCGATATATCAGTCACATTTTGTGGCTCAACCAGTAAGTCTGTAATCGGTTTTATTGACTAAATGTGCTTCGCTTCTTCTATCAGTAGGAACAATTGGACAACATTTGAAACCAGGATAAATTAAACTTGCAGAGACTCGTTATAAAATAAGAACATAACCACAAATCTTCATGTTGAGCTGAAGACGCTGCAGAAAAGCATTTAATATTCACACGTTCACTGAATGAATGAGAAAATTTGGACAGAACAATCACTAAAAACTGATAAGAATACACTTAAGAAAACTCAATTACACAATATATTGGCGAATTCAGCATCGTGTCAAAAATTCGAGCTGATCAGCTCGCGATGTTCCTTTATTTCATTTCCCAGAAGATCAGCTGTGTTATCACAAATGCTATCATGTTCTACAATATTTACAATCTGCATGAATAGGCGCAACAATTCCCTTTTCCTACAATCATGCAGACTCAAGTGTCCAACGCTAATCGGATGAAGTGTCTTGCGATTGCCAAGAAGAACGCTTCAATGTAAATAACGGGCAAAATATAGATTTCCTGTGCGGAAAGGCGTCAACTTTGACCTTTTCCTCGTCCTGCAAGAGAGCAAGACATGGCAAGAAAGCTTTTGGAGTGTTTGTCAAGCTCACCTGAATCATCTCAAGTGTCCTGTGTTTACTCAAAGTCAAGAATTGTGCTCGGGAAAACTGTTGTACATCACTTAATTACCACTGTAAGCAATTTTCTTGACCTCCACAGTGAAAAGTTGAATTGCTCAATGTGGAAATAATAAATCGACTCACATTCACAACACCTCAACTCTCTCCGCATAGATTCCTGGGTTCTGTGATAATCGCGGCGAGAGCGCTGAAAGGCAGAGATACGATTGCTGGGCGGCATTTCGGCTTCAGCTGCTCTTTGTCTTTGACAGAAGAGTGGCGAATGGCTGCTGGGGAGCGGGAAATTGATGACTGTGTGCTAAAGATATTAAAAGTTGGCTGAAAATTGTGTTAAGCACTCACCCGACGGGCGTCGCTTTTTCCCACCGCGCGCGCCATTGTTCCAGAAAATTGGCCAGCAGCATCTCTCCATCATCTGAATATCACTTTGTGTTGATGAAAATGATTGAATAGTACAAAATTGAATTTATGGATCAGGCTGAGGCACTCACTTTTGAGGCGGAGAGCGCTCAAAGGGAAACACTTTGTCAAGTCACTTTATTGAATGCCGAGGCACTCAAACCATCACCAAATTGACTCTTCCTCGGCTCAAAGCTCTCGCACCACCGCCACGAAATTCCCCGCTTGTCCCTCTCCCCCCACCCCGAATGGGCGAGTGGGTGGCGAGACTCTGTGTGTTGGCTTTATTAGATAGTAGCCGACGGAGCTTTTGGCAGAGCGAGAGCTTTGCAAAAACTTCCCTATGAATGAGTATTTAGCGCTTAGAAAATTAAGCGATCAAGGGAGTGTGAAGGCTTTCATCGCAATTACAGCATTGACAGCAGTTGCGGAGCAATAATCCCACTGACTTGGGGTTTAGCGCCAAGATGAAAGAGATACGGACAAATTTGAGGGCGCGCGGAGGCAAAACCTCCCCCAAAAGACGCACCCCGAAACAGATTCTTATTTATGTAAATCGCGCGGGCTTGAGAACAACACTCGCTCACGCCATTTCGCATGTTAGTTTGTTTATCAACCCCGAAAAGACATCGATTTAGCGGAAAAATACAAGTGTGTTTGTTCCACACAAACAGAAACGCACCCAAGCCAGAGCCTCAAACCATCTTTTATACACATATGCGTCAATATTTGCTCAACTTCGCACCTATAATCTGTCGTCGTCGATTCTGTCGGCTCAGTGGAGGGCCTTTGAGCGCTCCGCAAGGAGTTGAGGATGCCTCAAAGGATTCCCATCCCTTTGCTCGAGAGCGCAACTTGTTGGGAAATTCGCAAAATGAGGTATCGGAATTTCAGTGTAGGAAAAGCACTAATTAAGATGTATCAGAAGAAAAGCTGTAAGAAAGTATTTTTCACTTATTTCGCCGAGATTCTAATACCAATTTCAATGCTCATCAACGGGAATATAATATAAACTTTGGTAAAATCCAAGGGAAAAGTCAATCAAATAGTCACAATTAAAAAAAAAAACGACTATTTTCCAAGAATAATTGCAAAATAATTAAAAATTGAATGTTTTCGACACAAAATATAAAAAAATCTAATTATATATTTCAATATATCCTGAATATTTAATTAAAATTTAAATATAATAAAATATTTGATTATTTTCTCTTCATAAAACCGTCAAAGGGCAGCAAAGTTGGCGTTGAGAACGTAATTAAAATCGCATTTTTCGCATTATTTTCTCTCTCTTCTCACGCATTCTCACACTTTATGACTTCCTGGCGTGAAATTTGAGTGGAAAAATGAAGCTTTCCCCGTGGAAAAAGGCCGGTTTCATCATCAGTTGATCAAGTGTGAAAAGCATGTAGAAGTTCCGACTGTATCTGAGATTTTCAAAGTCACAAAATTAGCCATAAGCTGTACTCAAACACCAAAAAGTAAGACGCTGGCGTTCGAACTACAAAGCCAAACTTGCCGTTGGGAAATAAAACCGGAACTTTAAGGTTTAAAGTGCTTCCCTCTGGTGGCAATTAATAATTTATTTTACTGATCAATCGCATAAATTAACAGTGAGTGGAAACACCTCAATTCCTAGTTGTCTTCCTCTCGTTGTACAACTCAGTGACTCTGTTCCTGATCACGTTCTTCTTCACCTTTCCGGATGGCGTCATTGGCAGATTGTCCATGAAGAAGACGCCGCCGCGCAGCCTCATTGCGTCCATCACGTTGCTGTCGACGAGCTCGATGATCTCCTGTTCGGTGACGTGGCAGCCGTCCTTCTTCACCACCGCCGCCGCCGGCAGATCGATGCACAGCGGATCGGGAATGCCGACCAGGGCGACTTGGAAGACGGCCGGGTGCTTCTCGATCACCTGCTCCACATCGCCGGGCGCCACGTGGTACAGCTTGTACTTGATGCTCTCCTTCTTGCGCTCCACGTAGTGCAGATAGCCGTCCTGGTCGAAGAAGCCCACGTCTCCGGTGTGCACCCAGCCGTCGTCGTCGATCACCTCCTTCATGGCGTCGGGATTGCCGCAGTAGCCCGTGAATTGGCTGATGGTCTTCACGCAGATCTCCCCCTGCTCGCCCACGTCCATCCGCTGTCCATCCTCGTCGAGGATCATTGCCGTGACGCCCTCTGTCAGCACGCCCAGGGCAGTGATCGCGGGATCGAAGACGTGCGTCGTGATCGAGCCCACTTCGTTCATGCCGTAGAAGTTGGCTATCTTCGCGCTGGGCAGATGCTGCTGCAGATCAGTGGCCAGCGCGTGCGACAAAGCGCTGCCCATGCAGCCGTAGTACTTGAGATTGGGCAGACAGTTCGGCTGGAAGTCCGGATGCTTGAGCAGCAGACCGGCGTGAATGGGCGTGGACATGAAGTAGGACAAGTTGTACTGCTTGGCGATCTTCAGGAAGCCCGACGGCGTGAACGGATCCCTGGTGATGATCCTCACGCCGCCCTTCAGAGCGCCGCTCAGGAGCGCGATGTGAAATGTGCACCAGTAAGCAGTGCTGTAGCTCATGAACGCATCCCCTTCGTTGATGAAGTCCACGATTCTGGGCACATTAAACGTCGTGAGGTAGACTTCGTGAGACATGATGATGCCTTTGGAGAACCCAGTTGTTCCCGAAGTGCACACAATGGCCGAAACGTCAGCCTCAGACACTCTTGGAGGGTGGAAAATGAGCTTCCTGAAAGACACCAAGGTACTACAGAGTCATCTGACAAGATGCTGTGCGAACTTACTGAATGCCATCGTCCTTCAAGTCACCCAAGAGAAAGTCATCAAGGTGAAGCAATTCGGGAATCTTCTTGCCCACGACGATGATTTGAGTGTCTGTGCCCAATTCCAGGATGACGTCCTGAATCAAATTCACTTCAGTGTCATCGCAGAAAACAAACTTCGGCTTCGTCATTGTGAAGGAGTGAAGAAGTTCCTCTGCAAGGGAAAAAAGAGATTTTGTGCCTTTCTTTGCGATGCTTTGCAACTTTGTAATCTTATCTTATAAGACAATATGAGAAATTTTGTTATAACAAGATTGTAAATTTTCGGCTGTTAATTTATTGAAACTTTGTCTCTTAGAAGCTCAACTTAAGTTTCCATCCCATATTTCTGTAAGAATCCATTTAAAATCGCATTTTTGGACATCTTTTCCAACCATAACCTCAAAATATCATTAAGAGATCTTCAAAAACACCGTTTGGAAGCTTTCTAGATCACTCAAAACTGCTAATTCACGGTCAAAATTGTCCAAAAAGTTATCTAAATGAACATTTTTCACGTTCAAATGACTATTTTTGAGGTTATGTTTGAATTTAATATAATTTTGCAGTGTTTTTTTTTTGGTATCAAAGGTTCAATACAGAATTCGTTAATAGAATCTATGAATTTCACATGTTAGTATTGATTTATCAGACAATAATCTTAAAGTTATAGACTAGTTAGACTTACTCTTGGAGAAAGCAGGATCGAGTCCACTGATCGGAGCCCCGATGTAGAGCGATCCAAGGATGGCAGATGTCACGTAGAGACTGTTTCTCATGATGAAGACCACGACATCTCCTTTGGCACATCCTCGTGTCCTGAGATTCCAGGCAATCTTAAGAGCGGCCGCGTAAACTTGCGCATTTGTCAAGCTTGATCCGTCATCAGCACTGATTAAGTTCACGCGATCTGGCTTAATGCTCAGCAAGTGCAGAATCGCCTGACCTGCACTGATGCTTGGATGGAAGAAGGACCTATAATCCTCCGGTCCTTCCCACACTTTGGCTTCACTATCATACTTTGTGTAGTACATCTTTGCTGACTGGATTCTGCACTGATTTACTGGAGGAAAACGTGCACGTTTATATAGTGGAAGAGCACGAGACTCTTCCCGCAGTGTTTACTTAAGAGTATAGCATTGGTGATAAGAGTTAGAGAGAAGAATGAATGCATTAGACAATAATCAACCTTGGCCAGTGAACTCTGCTGGAGTTTGAGCGACAAAAATACTATACACAATCGGTTTATCTGGAGTGTACTGAGCTTAAAATGATGGCTCATAATGGGTTTAGTGGCGATGCTAACCTCTGGTTGGGGGTGGAATGGCAAAAAATCAATGAGAAGCAATCCTTGGATCATCTTCAGCTTATGAGGATCTCACTCAAATGAATATTATACCTGGCAGCACGAGCAGACTCTTAATTTACATTCTCCACAAAGTTGTCCAATATCGTAAATGTTTCATACGACCGTATAGATACGCAAATGTTCACCCATTGCCGAGGGATGATTGGGGCGCGGCGAGTGAAGGGTGGATTTTCAACTGTGGCAGACAAAGTGGAGGACATGGAGTAAAAACTCTAGTCACGTGTGTAAAGTTAGGAATATCTGGTATGTTAGCATAGATATTTTTGACATACATTCTAATATTTTCGAGAGCTGAATATTAATTTATTCACTCTTTGCGGTGCGCTTTGCATAGAATCGCGCCAATCGCTCGAGGACACTTTTTCGCGTACGGCGCAAAGAGCGCCCGAAAAATTCAAGAGCGCACAAAAGAAGCTCAGCAAGCAATCAATGGACACAGAGAGTCGAATGTCGACTTGCCGAGCGACAAGGACAATAAGTGGGCCAATTAGAAGCTATTTGAGGAATTAATTCCACCTGCCGATGAGCATAATTGCCGAAAGCGAGTGGGTGGCTTTCCCCCAGTCGCACCGCCGAATAACTCATCCGAAGTGACACAAGACAATTTATCGAGACAGAAACGTGCCTTCGCCGGAATGCCGGGGATTATTGTTGTTTGAGCACACTCAACTTGAGTTTCGGCGACGACTGCATGATGAATATTCCTCAGCTTGTTGTGCATGAACAGAACAATAATAATGCCAAAGGAAATTCCAGCAAAAAGTCAATTTCATTCCCAGCTTTAACGCCTTCCACTGTTTTCCTGCACGGAAAACATCTCCATGAGTTGGAGTAAAAATTCCCCAGTAATGTAATTTTCCTGCAATCACGAATGGCTTGTTGGAAAGTTCGTGCAATGATATTAATTTCAGTACAATTAATTAAATTAGATATGCATTCATTTCTTATTTTACTTCCATTTCATAACATTCCACGCATCGTTTCGTGCTCATTAAAATGCAATAAATTGCAAAATATTTACTCTACGCGCATTTCACTATATTTACTCTCTTTCTGCATGAATGGAACATTGAGTTAATTTCGCTGGTGGTTTTATCAAAGTGATTTTTAATCTCTTTTCCACATGCAATTCACGTGTGACGCTGAATGTGCCCGAAGCCACGCCCATTCCCATGCCCCGCCCCCCTTAAAATGACATATAATCCACTTCCTTTGAAATCGCACCTTTCAACTCGCCAGGGGCGATTTAAATGTTAAAATATTCGGCAAAAAAGGGACTCTGGAGGCGCCCAAAAAAGCACAGCATAGAATTTGGGGGAAAAACAGGCAGCAACATTATGCAAATTTTCAAGTGGGAAGCTTTTGATTGACTCTCGTCGCATGACAAGTTGAATTTCGCCCAGAATCAAGTGTGGAATAAATTCTCATCCTCTTTTGCCCAAAAGTTGCACACTGGAATATCGTCGCCCCACCCCCATTTATGGGGTGTGTGGGGTTTTTGCGACACAGTGTGGGGAAAAAGGGACTCTGTGAGCAGCCAGAAAATGCAGAAGAGACACTCTGGCCCATAAAATATTAAAATAACTCCAATGAGAAAGAAGTGCACATTTTGGTGTGCATCGAGAGAAAGAAGCGGCGACCGAACCTACTTGCAAAATGCTTGACAACGTAAAAAATTCATCTGATGGAATTCGAAAGTTGCCAAAGCTTCGCAATATAAAGTTGAAGTTTTTCCTCTGTGTGTGTGTGTGTGTGTGCCGACATGTGAGTGGATTATTAAAGTGGTTGGAGAGACAATTTTCCCAAAAGGCATTTTCTGATGCCGCTCGCCAAGCATGACGATTTCGTGGTGGGAGCAAAGATGACATATTACAAATTCACCCTCTAACAAACGTCGCACGATGCGTCAATTTTGAATTCTCATCTGCAGGTGAAGTGAACTTGCCATAAGGAATTTCTCATCTATGAATTTTCCAGCGGGAAATACCAGAAAAAACCACCACGGTGAGCCAGAAATGCAAAAGTATTGCTGCCTTTGGGGTGATATTTCATAGGAATATATAGCTTTATTATGCGTTCTCTGCCAATGCAGTTTATATTCAATTCCAAAATACACTCTCGCAAACCCACGATGGAATTCCCGAGAAGAAAACTATGTACAAATTATAGTTTTTATAGCTATTAGCCTGAAATGTGCTATCGAGGCTGGTTTTCCCCACCCATAAATTATCACTGATAGTTATAAAATGCAGCAATTGTTGGCAGTTTGGTCATTGAATTGCACAATGCAACAAACTCATGATGTGTGCTCATGCTCGCAAAGTGCCCAGGATGCATTATTGCATGATATCGGGCAGTTAAAGTGACTGTTGAACAAGTTGGGGTTGATTCAAACCACCAAATGCATGTCCCAATCATTGTGTCGCCCTGTCTAACACAAAGTGCAGCACAATGACGATGATGTGGTATTCATGTCACGTCTTAAATGATTGTCGATAACACATCGTGGCGTGATTAAATTCAAATGCATATCAGTGACAGTGGGTGAGCTGAATGATGGAGCTCTTGAGCCTCAATGGACACAGTGTGTGTGTGTGTTTTGGGGGTATAATTCCTTCAAGAGATGTGAAGACACTCCCCAAGCAATTCCCGAGAGACCATTGACTCCACACTCCTGAAAGCCATAAATGAATCCCGAGAATGCTGAGAGCCAGAGGAGAATCCCCAGCCGGATGAAATGGGAGAACAATTAGGGAAAAGGACACAAAAGTCCAACGGAAAACTAAAGTGTCTGCGTTCACAATTTATCACGAATAGTGCTAGTTTTGCTAACCATCGTCCTCGTCATTCATCGTGGAGCTCTCAGAGCTTTCACATGACTGTAAAAGCTTTTGCAGCTTCGGTTTGACATACAATCTCTCTGCGTGTTGTATATGGAAATGGGGGTTTGGGAAATGTGGGTCTTCTCAGGCGACTTCTTGGATCAAATGCAAAAAGGAGGGACATGCCGTTTTTCATGTTACAACACTGCCTTCCACCCCCCCAAATGGCGTCCACACCCTGAGCGGGTGGGCGAGGCGACAACTATTTTAAACAATTTGTAACAAATGGTTCCACCGACTTTCGGCTGTTCAAATGTGTTTTATATGTCACTTCCGTCTCTCCCTCGGGAGGACTTTTCACAATACCATTATGGATCACCCAGAGCGTATTCACACTTTTCAATTACACACATCGTGAAGTTTTCCCACCTTCAGCGACACTCTGAGATGGATTTCAATTTTCACGCCAATTCATTCAGCAAATATTTGCATTTATGCTTCTCTTCTCGTCCATCAGAGACGCAATAATCCATTTCTTAAGGGGTAAATAAGTGGCAAATACAGTTTCCTTGGAGTCCATGATAGAAACTGTGCTTTTAGAGCCTTCAATTAACTAGAAAGCTCAGTGATTCTTTGGATTTCTGTTAATTTTTACGTATAAATAGTCCTTTTCTAAGTTATGCAACGAAGAAAGGACTTATTTAGTGACTAATTTGCATTTGACCACATCAATTCTTATGCTCAAGATGGCAGATTTTGACACTGAATCAAATTATCCTTAGAATACTATAAAGTTTCATCATTGTTCATTTCTTTAACAGATTTAACAATTCCTTATGTTAAAGAATATAGATTAAGAGACTCTTAATTTCAGCACAATTCACTTCTTGTCCAAAATTTTCCTCAGCATTTGTTGTAAATCTTATTCTCAGACTCAAAATACCAAATTCTCATCTAAGATTCACAGTGAAAGACATTTATTTACCCCTTTGTCCCTTCCAGAGGCGCAAAATGTCTCTTCATGGCAGATCAATCACCGTCCAGAGATTCAATATTCAATTCTTGACCTTATTTGCAAACTACGTCGGATAATGCACATTAAAATGATGCCATGTTTGCCATCAGTTGAATTGATGGATCTCTTTGATGACAATTGCCGACTTGGGGCTCAATGGAGGGAATTTCACGACAATATTGTTTGCCAAATCTGGCAAGGTAGCCAACAAAGCGATTGGCAAGACAATTTGTGGAGATGATATTAATCGGTTTATCGAGAATTCGGGTGGGATTTGTACTCAATACAGTACAAAAGGGCTTAATTGAGCTCCTTTCATGATGTCAGAAGTTCAGGGATTTTGACAATAATAATCCGAGCGCAGCACTTAAAGTGTAATGTGTCTTGAGGAGATGAAATTAGACCAAGATCTCCCGTTGAACTCCATTCACAATGCATATTGTTATCTCTTGGCATTTCAAGTTGAAGATCATGTGTGAAAGGAGTTTATTTGCACTGTAAAGACGCAAAGATTTGACTGTGATAATGACTTTTATCGCCAGTCAAGTTGTGATCGCGCAACAAATAAGGTCATGAGAATGTTTTTTTGTGCTAAAAGTGAGTCAGTGATGAGATTTCATTGAGATTTTCACTCGAATTTTGCGGTGCGAAAGATGAAACTTTCACGCAAAAATCTTCCGCACAAAGTGAAGTCAATACATTTTCACCCTTTTCCCACTTCTCAGAATGTGTGTGTGTGTGTGATATAGTTTAATTGAGATATATGCAAATAGCCGCCCGCGCCAAAACTCCAGCAAATACTAAGTATCTGAGTGAAGTCAAATAAAA